GTTATAGTACCGAATATTTGTTCATTAAGGTACTATATGGAAGTACGTATGTTTATTGTTGTATTGTTTTTTGTGTGTCACTTTATGTTGTGTTGTCTTTTCTTTTTAACTGAAATGTAAATAAAGATTATTTTTTAAAAAAAGAAGAAGAAGAAGCAGACAAAACTATAAGATACCTAACAAGAAATAATAGCTGGAAATATAGGACTAAGTGTATTTTTTTCCCTCTTCTCATCCAACTCTTATTAAATTCAAACTTGGGAAAGATGCTGTTTGAGGAATATGTCATTATTTGCAGTATTCATCTAGATTCTTCTTGTATCCATCAAGCTGAACCTTTTGTCTTTTGAAGGGACTCACGAGGTCGGGATCTAGACCAGTCTGAGGAGTCAAGAACAGAACATTTAACTGTATGATTTCCACGTGGAAAGTTTATTGAAAGTTTGAAGAAGGAAAAGCATAATGGAGTTTTGCGATGTAGCAACAAACAGCCAAGAATCAGGAAAGTGTTATTTTATAAGGCAATTCCATTTTTATAATAATAGTTTAACAATTCCATTTCAGCTTCTTTCCCTTTGTTTTAAATTCTTTCTGAACTAGATGAAAATGAAAATGATAGATTCCACACTTTATGTTAATCCATCATTTATTAAACTATTGATGGATTTCTGAATTAAAACTGGCTGGAATCAGATATTGTCTTAAGTAATAGTTAACTAATTAATACTTATACAATATGCTATTACAGTATTCAATTTTCTGAACTCAGAACCAAATGGTTCAGCAACCCTAAATGGATAACTGTTATTGCATAACACTGTATAGCCACAATCTGGTAAGAAAAAGAAGTATAACTTTTTTGAGCTACATTTTCTTTGAGGTTAAATTACTGTATTTTAGATGTAAATGTTCCATTATTTAATGCAGTAATGTGAGTGGGTAGGGGAATAGTAAAGATCTATTGTTTTTCTTTCTTTCCCATTACTCTTTTTAATGTAAACTTATCCCTGCAGTGAGATAAAAAAATTCTGTCATTCAGATAATATGAACTGAATTTAATTATACACAAGACACATTCGTTTCTCAGAGTCTCATTCTATTCATTGGATTGGAGAAGTCTGTGGAAGATCATGTCCAATATATTCATGAATCCTTTGAGAGATTTCACATTTTAGAAGCTGAAACCATCTGTTCAATTTAATACTCAGTATAGGATGAGATCCAGAAAGGAACACACACACACACACACACACACACACTGTTTGTGGATGCACACCTATGTTTCCATCAAAATTCACTATTAGAAATTTACTTCAAAGAAACAGTATCCTGCTCTTTGAACTTTGACAGAAAAATGCCATTATGTTTGTCTCCCTCCATGTTTGACTGCCTGCCTGCCTACCTGCCTGTCTGTCTATCATCTATCTCTACCTACCTACCTACCTACTACCTACCTACCTACCTACCTACCTACCTACCTACCTACCTACCTATCATCTCTCTCTCTCTCTCTCTCTCTCTCTCTCTCTCTCTCTCTCTCCTACCTATTTATCTAACCATCTGTTTATCTATCATTTATCATCTACCTATCATCTTCCCCTACTGCCTCAGCAATGGGTTTCTGTGAAAACTCAATTTGCTCCTTGGCCTTGGACAAAGTTAAAAATTATTTTGAGGGATTTTTAGGGCAGATCTGAAAAAGTAAGCAAAGTTAGTTATAAGGATAAACGATACCAAAAAAAATAGATTTTGGGAAAGACTTGAAAGTTGGGTTCTTGACTGCCTTTGGTGTATGTTTCTGATCAAAAAGATGCTTCTGTACTGTAGGTTCTTATTCATTAGCTTGGGGAAACATTTGAACAGGGATACATATCACATGCAGCCATCACTCTGCCATGCCTGCTTTCACTTTCATAAAATAAGATTCAGTTCATATCTCATGTGACATTTGTTTTAGCATTATACCTCAGTGTCCAGTCAATCAACATTTTATGACTACTATTAGAAAATCTTTCCTATATAAAAAATAGTTTTAAAGGCTTATGTTTAAAAACCGACTAAAACTGAATTTCTTTTTCTATCTTTGTATCTATCATCTAGACAATTCAACAATCACAGTTTCCTGGGAATTGAATAAATCAAAGCACTGAATAAAAAACATACCTAATTAACAAAAAGAACATCACAGGGGGGAAAAATGAAGAGTAACAACAATGATGTTGCCAGTTCTCAAGGGTCATTTCTGTGGAAGCCACTATTTGTTTTTCCCTTAACATTCTATTAAAAGCGTGTTTTGTTAAAATAAGTAGTTCTCGACTTAACCGCTTCATTTAGTGACCATTCGAAGTTACAGCAGCACTGAAAAAACTGTCTTATGACCGTTTGTCACACTTACAACCATTACAGCATCCTCACAATCACGTGATCAAAATTCAAATTCTTGGCAACCGGTTCATATTTATGACAGTTGCAGTATTCCAGGATAACGAGATCACCTTTTGTGACCTTCTGACAAGCAAAGTCAATGGGGAAGCCAGGTACACTTAACAATTGTGTTACAAACTTAACAACTGCAGTGATTCACTTAAGAACTGTGCCAAGAAAGGTCATAAAATGCGACAAAATTCAAACGTTTAAATTTTGTCTTGCTTAGCGAGTGTCTTGCTTAGCAACAGAAATTTTGGGCATAAGTCAAGATTACTGGTATTCTATTTTGTGTCTTAAGCCTTTGTATATTAAAATGAGAAAAAAAATCCATTGTATCAGCCACACTGATGTTTACCACTTTTACATCCAGTGGGTCTGGAAGCTAAGCTGAGCCATTGCTCATTAGTATTCAGATGGAAAACTACTGTACTGAAGAAACTACTGTACTAAAGAGGAATAAGGCTTGATTGGGAAATGAAAAAAATCCCGAAATAAGGCAAATGCGAATTTAAAGTCTGTATTACATTTAAAGCCAAATCTTAAAATATTGATTTCACCTGAAATATGAACAATGGCCAGTCATGGCATATAATCAACTACTGACAGCAGGAACTATGTCCAATATTAATAAAAATAACTTTGAGGACATATGCTACTGTAAATTACATTGGAAACTACTGGCAAAACTGCTGGCGGTTTTGCTTAAATGTGTTATAAAGGTAATCAAAATTAAAATGTGTTTCTGTCTATGCATGCAGAGATGCTGTAGATGCTGATCCTCACTCTCTTAGTCTTGAGAAAATCTGTACATGCATAATCGTTAAATTCCTTTAGTATCATTTTTAGTATTAATTAAAAGAGCTGAGGTGGTGCAGTGGTTAGAGTGTAGTACTGCAGGCTACTTCAGCTGACTGCTAGCTGCAGTTCAGCAGTTCAAATCTCACCGGCTCAAGGTTGACTCAGCCTTCCATCCTTCCAAGGTGGGTAAAATGAGGACCCAGATTGTTGGGGGCAAGATGCTGACTCTGTAAACCGCTTAGAGAGAGCTGTAAAAGGACTATGAAACAGTATATAAGTCTAAATGGTATTGCTATTGCTAATTTTAATTCATACTTTTCAAAAACTTTCCAAAAACTAACGTGCCAATCGTCCCTGTCATTGTATTTTTATAATATTCCTGTTTTTCTTTCTGTTTGACAAATTATAATAAATAAAATAAATAAAATAAACGTATATTGTGTTTTACTTTTTAAAATAGGCTAGCTGTCTTGAATACTCAGCAGATGAAAAAAGCAAATATATGTTAATGTACACAACAGTTTAGAATGGCAGCATGGAAAAGAAATTCTTAATAATATGTTGTAATCCTTGAGAAAGAAGAGTTTTATCATTATCATCAGTGTGATATAAAAACAAATTCAGTCACATGAAGAAAATATGTCTCTTTTAAAATGCATTGTTTGGCAGAGGATGTGGAAAATAATCACAAATTAATAACATATAAAGTGGGTGTGGTAATGCAAAATTCATAGTACCTTGATAATTATTCAATAATCATTTTTGTTGAAACTTTCTTGTGGCTGTATCAGAAATAAATTTGCTTTCTGAACCCATAAAAGTTCTGAGTCAAGTTTTTATACACAAATATTCATAAGATTTTTCTGCATTTCCTGCAACAGACATTGGTGTTATTTTACTTTCTATATTACTTCTTACTTACCATTAGTTCAAAGATAAGTAGCTGAAATACAGATGGTGTGATTAATGAATGAAATCAATAATTAAATTGGTATAATTAAATGGAAGTCAAGGAAAATGAAATGAAAAATATCATAAGCAAGTCCTGAAATTTATTTGAAAGAACATGACAATATAACATGATGAGTTTTGATTATTTTGTTTAATGATACCCATCTATCCATTTTTTAGAACTACTGACACTTTTTATGCCTGATAAAATGAAAATACTGGAATGTATCCTGAATGCACCATTACACACAAATGGCCGACGTTACTCATCGAGGGTGTGTTTTCGGCAGCAATGGCCTCCTGCAGCCTCTGCTGGCAAAAACAGAGCCCACGTGGGCCATGCACAGCTTCCCCAAGCTCTGTTTTCACTTGCAGAGGCACCATGGGCCAGTCTTTTGCTGTTTCCAAGGCCGCCCCACAGGCCAAATCTAAGACCCTGCGAACCGGATCTGGCACCTGGGCCTTGAGTTTGACACCCCTGATATAGAACTATTTTGCAGTTGCCTTCTTTTAGCCACAGAACTTTCTGGTGGTCTCTTATCCAAGTATTAATCATATACAATCCTGTATAGCTTTTAGCTCAATGAAGTCCAGGTAGATTCATGTAACTGAACATCACCATAATATTTTTCAACTCTGTAGAATTGCATAGGATATGTTACAATGGGAAAGATTGCCAACCTTTAGTAGTAATAGAAAATTGATCAGTGGAAATCACTATCTCAGTTTGCTTGTTTCTCATTCACAAGATGTACCCATTACCACAGTTAGAAATTACAATAATCAAGCACTGCATCCAAATATAAAATAAAATAGTATCTCACCCTTCAAAACAAAACTGGAACTTTGGTTTATAGGAACCGGTTATGCCCATATGCCTTCCTCATCATCCTGCCAGCCAGCCAGTAGGAGGTAGATTGGAGTTTTAGCATTGGAATAAAGGAAGAAACAATTAGTTACCTCAGTGCACTTGAAGATCTATTAATCTTTGGTGATGAAAGTTCAGGTTCTCAAACACATTGGAATGAAATGTAAACAACAACTATTTTCCTTCCTAGAATTTTTCCCACACAGGCAGGTTCCATGATCAATCAAGTGTTGATCATTTCAAAAGGCACAAATCCAAAAATGTAGTGAAACATGGCTTGAACAGAGTTGTAATTTTGCATCCAAAAGATATTATGAATCTGAATAGGTAATAACAAGAAGATAATTTCATAGCTCTTTCGGAAAGCACATTGCTAACTATACCTATCAATATTATGATTTTCCATTGGTCTTATTTCTGAGGAGGATATAATTTTTTTTAAACTTAACGTGACTATTTAAATAAATATATCAGTAAGTATTTTAATGAATCATTTTAGTTTTGTATAGCACAGAAATATAGTAATGACCAAAAGAGACAATTTATTGAGGCAAATAAACAAATAGAAATAAAAACTTCAAGCTGGAAGGGACCTTGGAGGTCTTCTAGTCCAACTCACTGTTCAAGGCAGGAGTCCTTATTCTATTACAGATAGGTGGTCCAATCTTTTCTTGTAAATCTCCAGCAATGGACCATCCGCAACTCTGGGAGGTAAGCTGTTCTATTGATTAATTGTTCAACAATTGTTAATTGTTGTCATTGTTAAGAAATTTCTTCTTAATTCCAGATAGAGTCTCTCTCTGACAAACTTCTACCCATGCTCTTCAGATGCTTTGGAGAATAAATCAACCCCCACTTCCCATGACAGCTGGTCCAAGTATTGGAAGATGGCTATCATGTCTCCTTCTCTTTGTTAGACTAAACATACCTAGTTCCCTTAGACCTTCATTCTACAATTTAGCATCCAGACCCCTGCACTCTTTCTAGGGCCTCAGCATCTTTTTTTTGTATCATGGTGGCTAACTAGCTTCCTGCTACAGCTGTATGTCTCCTCCCTCACACATATCCTTTGACTCCAATGTCTAAAGATGAGAGGGAACAAGTGAGGGACAGAGCAGAGGCAGCAAGGATGGTGCAGCCCTAAAGAGTGTATTTTTATAGAAAATGTGAATCTAAAGGAACTTTATCTGATACGAAACATGCCACATTTCTCTCAAGATGCCAACAATTTTCTGCTCCAAGTGCAATTTTATGAGCTTCCTTGCATGTAGTTCCAGAAGTTTACATAACCATTTAGAATTTATTCAGAATGTATTTATTTAGAATAAATTCTGTTCCAAACTACCCTAATATGAATGGGATCCTGATTATTATTATTTTTTGCTTGATTTAAATTGAAAATTTACTTCCACGTTTACAATTACCTTGCTTTTTCTCTTTTTGTAAGGATTTTATTTTTATGTGTGTAACATGAAATAGAAACTGCCAGAATAGTATTAGTGGGTAGAATTAAATTAGTGTGGTTTTGAGAACAAAGAATTTTCTGGCTGAGAGATTACTTGATTTAAAAAGGAAAGGAAAGAGAAAAGAAAGATGGCTTGAAAATGCCTGCTTTTCCAGGATAAATCTGTTGAACACATTTAGATAAAGGAATTACTGTGTTCAATATTAATGATCATGGATTCTACTGAATTTTTCTCAGGCAGATGGTAATTGTTCTATTCTAATTCTCCTGTCTGGATTACAAGTGCAGTCAGATGTTGAATAATTTCCCAGGATGGGATCAAGTCTTTCTAAGCTGTGAATACTCTCTTTCTGGAATGTTTGCCCTGCAACATCATGTTGCCTCTTCTCATTGAAAACAGGTGGAGTATGTTTTCTCTGAGGAAATGGTTAAATGCTTTATTCTTGTTCACCTGTTCAAGTAATTCTTCAGAAAACAGTTAGTGTAAGCTACTGGTAAAAATAATGCACATATTAGATGATGAAAATATTGTTCTTCAAGCATTCTTCAGTAAGAAAAGTGATAAAGATTCCCTCTAGATTAGGTCAACTTCATGCTATTTTGTTGACTATCATATCTATCTATCTATCTATCTATCTATCTATCTATCTATCTATCTATCTATCTATCATCTATCTATCATGTGTGTGTGTGTGTGGATGTGTGTGTGTATGTATAATGTATATGTATATATATGTGTGTGTGTGTGAATCATAGCATAATTTAGCATAGTGTAGCATATCATAATATTATTTTATATTCATAAAGGTAAAATAAACTTAAAGGTAAAGGTTTCCCTGTGCCTGTCTGATTCTAAGGCATCGTGCTCATCTCCATTTCTTGGCTGAGGGAGCCAGCACTGTCTGAAGACATTTTCTGTGATCATATGGCGAGCATGGCTATATGCCAAAGGTGCATGGAATACTGTTAACTTCCCATCAAAGTGGTACTTATTAATTTACTTGCATGCTTTTGAACTGCTAAGTGGGCAGGAGCTGGGGCAAGTAATGGGAGCTCACACCATTGTGAAGCATTTGGGTCTCAAACCCAGGCTGACAAGTATCTTTAACTGCTGAGCCTTATATTATTAGCATAGTGTAGCGTAGCAAATAGTATAGTAATAAATACTATATTCCTAATAATACTAAATATACTTCCGAATGAGCACTGATATGTCTTGATGTTTACCTATCCAAACAATAATCAAGTCCAACCCTGTTTAGCTTTCTGAGATCAGCTAAGGTCATCTAGAGGCAGCTCCCTTGCTGAGCAGGACAGAGTAGAAAACAAATAAATTTACATGTTATGTTAGGACAGAAAGAAAGATTCCCTTTCTAAAAACATCTGAAGAATTTCTTGTCCTTTGGAAAACTTCAGTAAAATGCCCATCTCCTCAGTGTCTCTGGTCACAAATAGGATATAGAATCTGCCCAGATGTTTTTAAAATAAAATACTTCTGGAATATTTACTAGGACCTAAGATTAATAAAAAATGCCTTACAACACAATCATTACAAGTTTAAGTGTTCTGCTTCTCCTTCTTCAGTAAAAAAAACTTGCCTGATCAGACTTGTAATAGATGACTTTTATGTCCTTGAGCACAAAGAATTAACATCTCAACTTAAAGTAAATCTAGTGAAAATAATGTACTCATCTTATGAAATAGTGTTTATTTTTTTTTCTCCCAAAAAGCATGGTGTAAGGGAACTAGAATAAGGCATCCTATTCTTGTCTTCTTGTCTGCTGCCTATAACTGGTGGTTTGAGCTGTCAGACATGTTACTACTGGCCCCAGGCTTGTGAAAGCTTTTCTACCACTTGCAGACAAATTTACTTTTTTTAACACAGTGATTGCCACACAAGGGATTTCATTTCTCACTCACTGTGACCTGAAAAGACTCCAGTTTTCTATCGTATATAGGACCTTTAAAAACAAAACCTCAGAAGGTGTTAATCTTCAATATACAGTACAAGAAACAATAAGGTCTAACAGAATGAAGTAAAAAAATCTCTCATTCATTTGGTTTATATCCACCTTTTCTCAAGCCAGTTTACATAGAGAGGCTGCTTCGTTTTATCCCCACAAGTCTACCTTGTGAAATAAGTTGTGTCACGAGAGAATGACCACCTAATCTCACCAGTAGCTAAACTTGGGTCTTCCCAGTTCTAGTCCAGTATTTTAACTATTCTATTGGCTCTAACTATGGGTTTTATGAATCTCCTGGAATTTTTTGTGATTTTATACCAGTGTTAGGGATTAAATCAGTCCAGAGATTTTTGTATGACACATACTAGTATAATAAAACTATGGTACAATCCAGGGGTGGGTTTCAAAACCCGTTGCTACCGGTTTGCTCGTGGGTGCGCACACGCATATGCATGCAATGCTTCTGTGCATGTGCAATGCTTCTGCGCATGCGCAATGCTTCTGCACATGTGCAACACTTCTGGTCATGTGCAGAATCTTCTGCATATGCGCAGAAGCATCCGGGTGGGAGACGGAGCTTCCCACTGACACAGCTACCGGCTCGCCCAATCCAGGACAAACTGGTAGCAATCCACCACTGGTACAATCAGTTGACAATAGCTGTAAAAAAAAAAAAAAAAGATACTTAAAATTTGGCACACCAATGGTTAATTTGAAGTTTGCTTGATTCCATTTGCTAGTGGTCAGGCTCTGGCTGACTGTATATTTTTCCAATGGCATAATTAATCTCTGTTTACTTCCTTCATTAATCAGATACTGCTGTATACCGCACTCCCTCCGTCACTTGTTATTCTGCTCTTTGTCTCCACAATGTTCTTACTATTTAAGTATCACTTGTACTATTTACTCAAAGCTACTTTTTTGCCATCAACTTGATCGCCAACGGTTAATGTAGCCAGTTTTTAATTAAATAAAAAGGCCCAAAGATTTGCAAATATTGCCTTGGGCAAAGCAAGACATTCTGGAAATATGTCCTTATAAGAGACTAATTTAGTCTAGAATATTTACATTTTACCCTTTCTGTATACAACCTCCTGAAACATCACCTAATAACTTCTAATAAAATTCATCCACTTTTTAACTAGCTAATAAAAAAAGCCCTGAAATACACACTGAAATTCTTTTCTTTTCTTTTTAGAAATAAATCTAATTCTCCTATTAAGCAGTACCCTCTTTGCATTTATATCTATGCTGATCCACTTGTCATTTTCTCCACCCCCTCATTAGATCTCTATTTTCAACAGCATTCATTTCTCTTCAAACAAAAATATTTTGTCTTATCTTTATGTGCATTGGACCAAGGAAATCTGAAGGACAATTTATGTAGCTGTAGCTATTATTCTTTCCTCCTAGTTTCCTCTAATGAACACTTTGTTAGCAATTTTTTTATGTTATATACATTTTTAAACATGCATTTTGTATTCATTTTTAAAAGATATATGCAATGTTCTCAACTCTCCACATGCAATCCTTCAAGCCTAAATTGACAAAATTTAAAAAAGGATCTATCTGGATTCCAATTCATAATTTTGCTTGGGGAGTGTTAATTAGACCAGTTGCCATTAACATGTTCAACGCATTTTCCAAACCAAGCCCTTCCTCAGATGAATGGAATGGTGAGCTCATCTTGTAGTTCTGTTAAAGGAACTTTGGACTGTTTGTTCAAAAGTGAGATATCAACATTGACCAATAATCAAAGATGAATAAAAAGAAAATTCTTGCCAAGAACTCTTTGAAAAGTGTGTTCAGAGCATGGGTGGGGTATTACAGAATGAAGTGTGGAAAGTCATTCAGTGCACCAGTAACAAAAGTTTTATTTCATGTTGGCCGAGATGAGGAAATGACTTTTTCATGAAAGAATCTCTCTCTTTCAACACCTATCACCTTTCTTTGTTCAGTACTTGGTTCTTTCTTCTTTTGAACAGACTGCAGGGAATAAAATAAGGAACCAACATGATGTAGTGGTTAAGGTGCTGGATAGGACCTGGGAGACTTTGGTTTAAGAAAAACCCCAGCCATCCTTAAAATCACTCTTTCTTCACTTAGCTTAACCCCACAGTGTCATTGTTTGGGGTACAGTTCTTCAACCGTTAAGGCAGTATACAGTTGTATACTGCCTTAATTGCTTAGAAGAAAGTCTAACAAATAAAGCAAGGTGTTTTTTTTTTTTTAAAAAAATTCTCCTTCACCAGATTGCAAGGAGCACAGTGGCTCACTGGGTTGACAATCAGCAAGCCCACGTTCGAGACCTGAGTGCTACTGTGTGATCGAGCGAGCTCCTGTGATTTGCTCCAGCTCCTGCTGGCTAGGTGGGCACATTAATGGGGACATGAAAGGAGCCCCCAAACAGGTGCCCCCCCCCCACAATGGTGATGTCACCAGCTAATCCTTTCTACCCAGAAGCGACATTGTGCTTCCGGCATGAACATGAGTGACCTGATGCCATGGATATGATAAGTCTTTTCATCTCTTTTTTGCAGAATTTGGATTCTTCCCACAAACTCACTGTTTTTTTCCTTATCTATTTGTGAAAAAGCTAGACATTTTATGAATAATATAAAAACCTATCCTAGAAATCTTTGATATTTTGAGGTTTTCTAATATGAAAAACAAATAACACTGTTTTGTTAATTTAACATAAAAGGACATAACTTAAAGAGACAAACCTTTTGTTAATACCGATTCAAAGTTGAATTCAACACATTCAACTCATTTAATGGTTTTTAGCAAGCTGAGTTCATAAAACAAAATAATAATAGATTATATTTGTGTGGATCAACTATCTAAACAACCAAACCTCTCTTCACCATCAAAAAGCAATTATTCAAAAATATTTTTAATAGTTACACTGAGATCTATTATAAGTGTTATGAAAATAAGAGGGAAGAGAACCATAATAAAAGGAAGGGGGGGAATCAAAGGAGGAAAGAGAAAGGAAAATGGCTTCTCTAGGTGATGGAAACAAATAAAGCCATTCATTTCAGTTCATAGAGCAGATAACTTATATTGTTTTCTTTTTTTTCTTTGAACGTTTATTTTACCTTGAAAATTGCCCTGGTAAGAGGGTAAAGTATGAAATTAAAGCAAGAAGAGTAGTGTCTTACCTGTTCTGGAGAGGGTCTATGATTGGAGTGTGTCCTTCCAGGAGATCTGTGGTGGTGATGGTGATGATGGTGGTGATAGTGATGATGGTCATCGTCATAGTTGTCTGCCATCAGTTTCATTCTATTCTGAGTCTGAAGGAAATAAAAAAAACCCACTAAATTCTAGAATGCAGAGACAACATTAGACACTATCTCTACTGTATGAGACCAATATTTCTCCCTACAACAAAGTATATTATATGAAATATGTGACAGCTGATATCAAGGATTGCAGAACAAGTGGTGACATTTTTGTGCTTAATAAGTTGTTATGGATCCACCAATGAATCGACTTTCAGAATTATCTCTGTCATGATTATCTGTTAGTCCCAAGAGCATATTGGTTGACCATGTTCAGCAACACTTTTGACTTTTTAGCTGAAAAATAAACTTTGTTCCATGATAGGCAACTATTACCCACAACCCATCTAGAGCAGCCCTCAAGAACTGAATGAGTAAGAACATGCTAGAGATAGATAGATAGAAGATAGATAGATAGATAGATAGATAGATAGATAGATAGATAGATAGATAGATAGATAGATAGATGATAGACAGAAGACAGATAGACAGGCAGGCAGGCAAGCAGGCAGGCAGAGGATGGATGGATGGATGGATGGATGGATGGATGGATGGATGGATGGATGGATGAAATCAGTCACCCCATAGAATCAGCAGAAATACCTAAACCTTCATGGACTGAAGATGCACACTTTTCTACAAATTTCACATCCATCCATCAATTTTAATACTGGACCATAAAACATAAATTAAGATAGATGTGCTTCATAGAATGTTTATTTACAAGAAGCCATACTTCAAAAAGCATGTATTCTAAACTATGCACATAGGCTAGCCATGGATCACATCTATTTTATTGAAAGTATTGCATTTCAGATTCACCATTGTATAAATGCAGTGTAAAGACTTAGAACAAATCGACCTAGTAGATAAACATGGGAATCAGAACTTTCTAGCTCAGGGCTGTCAAACTGGTACCCCACAGGCTGAATGCATCACAGACAGGCCACGCCTACCCCAGCTCCATGGATGGAAAAAGTGTCACGAAACATCATGTGACAGCAACGTAATGCAATCAGTTTAACACCTGTGTTATAGCTCTACACGTATCACCTAAATAGTTGATGAGTCCTCCTGGCCAATAATTTAAAACATGCAGCATGTGTGGGGTAATAAAATAAAAATATAACACATTTATTAAACTTAAACCCTCTTTTAATATGAATTAGTGAGTGACATCCTAAAGTTGTACATTTATTGGGGGAATTTTTTTTTTCAGATTTACAGTCTGAAAACTTTTATATGGTCTGAAACATAGCTCCCAACTGTACAGTGAGAAAATCCCTTTTCAATCTACACAACATCTAGTAGATTTCAAGGATTTGCCTTCTCAAATAAATTGTCTTTGTCTAACAAAGCAAAGCAAAACAAAAAATTCTCGAATTGGAAGAAGGGAAAAGATTATCTTATGTTTTTAGCAATCCGCTTTCTAAGAAAGAGCAACTCTAATCCTTACCCTATTTCCTCTTTGAATTTTTAAAACATTTTATTTGTTTATTTTCTTATTAGTGAACAGCCTTAAATATCCTACCTTTCAACTGTATCCTATAAAAATGCACAAGTTAAACAAGAAGATATATGCAATCCTGAAAGTGTTTCCTGTAATGAGGTGTTGGGGATTAAACTTGTCATGGAATAAGAACTGTGAATGAATGATGCCATATTCTTAATATAGTGCTGAAACATAAATAAAACACCTTTAATATTGATTCCTGCTGAATCCAAACTATTGGCAAAGCAAACACAAAGCTACAGCTAATACCAAGTGTGATACTCTGAGTAGGGCATCTATATAAATTGATTAAATGAATAAATATTTAAATATTTCACAGTATAATTATCCTTCTGAAGCCTTTTGCAGTGTAACTGCATCCTGTCTTTTGATTAATACCAAATTATGTCAGAACTTTCTGAAGAAAAGATCATTGTTTTGCTGACTTACACATTGGCTAGAATAACAGGAACATACACAATTTAAGATCACCCTTTGGCTTCTCTTATGGCATTCTTATAAGAAATATATGTTTATATTCATGATGCTTAACTTGGAGATTGCATCTTCAGTGGTTTCAAGCTTCCAAGTGACACAATCAGATGTCTTATTTTAGGGGATGAAATAGGAAGAATAAAAGTGTCTAGAAAATATGGGCTAAATATAATTTTTTCCCAATTATTTAAATTAAATACTGTGAAATATTGCAGCCCTGACTAATTCCTTTTAAGAGTCAGAAGGCTTTATAATGCCAGGTATAGTTTTATTTCAGGAAGAAATTAATTAACTAGATTGGAATTTGTCCAGGACCTCAAGGGCTCTACACTTGAGAAACAAAAAAGCAATGGAACTTTTATTGACCCCATATGTTTAAAAGCTTGGTGGGGGGAATAAGCATATACTGGGTCTCTTGGCAATGTGATGAAAAATATTGATCTGGAGGGAAGAGTGCCACCTACTGATTTCTTTCTGCCACCATTTCCTGTAGTTTCATGAATTTCTTTAAAATATGTTGAAGTTCATTGTTTCCAGTTAGCATTGGAAGGAATAAACTGAATCTGTTTCCAGTTAGCATTGGACAGAAAAAAAATTAAGCATTCTACCAATCTTGAGTTGGTAATATATCTATGAACATATACTTTGGTATCGCTTCGCTTGTATATTTTGGAAAACATGGTTAATCAAGATTGGTTAAACCTCTTAAATTAGTTTCCTAACTAATATTCAGTAAGCTCAATGATAGATGGTTCAGGAACACTGTATTTTTCTTCAAGACGGTTGGACTTCAGCTTGTAAAAATTTATTTCAGTTGCTTTAAGTATGATGACAGTTTTAATTCTAAATTTAACTTCATATTTTGTTTTTGCATTTCAGTATTAGGTATTTCGCTTGCATGATCAGGAAGTGACAACAATATTTCACAGAATGAAAAGTCTTAGGATACATTATTTCCCTATTATGGAAAACCTTTAGGAATCATGTCTGACCAAATGCTTATGCAAACTTGCAGTAGGAACTATGCTCGTATAGGAAGAGGAATAGGGGATCAGATATATAAGCAATTATACTATGGAAAAATATGCTTTTGAATAAATAATTCCTCCTTGGCAACATATTCTCCTGGCTATATTTAATCTGATATTTCACTAAGCAGAGCCAAATTATAATAAAGAGATTGATCCTTAAGGATTATCACTTCATGGAGCAAGTCCGTGGTTAATACATTCTGCAATTATCCTGTTAGCAACCAAACAATGAAAATCATACTGTAATGTAAGCTTGGCTCTGAAGGCCATCTTCAGGCGTCATGTGCTTAGTTCAGCTCCCAGTAGAAAAAGGTCTGAACTAAAAGTCTTTGATGAATAAGCTAATATTCTTTAAATATCAGATATGTGAAAAATCAGTTAGAAAACTTTATTGCAGAATCTTTGCTTAAGAACGCATCTACACAGCCTTTATTAAAAATTACGTTTTGAGATATTAATTCCAAATAATGTAGCCTAGTCAAAATTATCAATCCACCCAAATCTGAAAGTCACAAGGAGTGGAGTTTGGAGTGATTCTGAAACAACTAGAAGATAATAATAATAATAATAAAGAAACTTATTGGGGGGTGGAGTGCGTGAAGGATTTTATTAGATAATAAATATCAATACAGTAGTTCATTATTTTAACAATGTACTTACTAGGACAAGAAGCAAATTCCCTACAGCTTCATTAAAAAAAAGTGATAACTTTTGAATGACTTGTGATTGTCTAGCCCTTCACCATCTCTTGCAGGTTCATAGTTAGAGTGAGAGTACAGGCTAAAAGCAGAGTGTAATTAATTTCAAAAGAACATGCAACTGGACAATATTGGCACTGGCATAGCATTTTTCTTTCTAACAAATCTCACTGAGTAAGTAGCCTTATATACCCCAAAAACAGCCCATATACCGCAAAAACAGGGGTAAAACTTCTATGTTTTTTTTTAAAGTATTGTATCAGATTCGGCCAAGATCCTGAGGGTTGCAGAATGCTAATGAAAAATAGATCCATAAGAACCATGGGAAACAGTTTGTTTCAGATTCTCCTTTTCGTTTTTCATACAGTAACCTGCCTGCTGAAAGCATGTCAGTTTCACACTTCAATTATTAAAATATATTGTTTGCTAGGTTGGCCATTCAGCTTTGCTAAGTATAAAGAAAAAGGAGCAATGGTTGTTTCAATGGTTGTTTATTACAGTATCTACAATAAATTATCCTTTCCAAGTCCATGTTCTTGAGTACTCAAGTATTTGCAGGAGCCAATCTGAGTTGATCACTAGGATCAGAGGTTTTCTCTTCTGAGCTTTCAGACTCATGCTGGAACCCATCCTGAGGGAACTTCTCTCTCAGCACATTCTGGTGAGAGAGAAGTTCCCTGAGGATGGGCTCCAATACGAATCTGAAAGCTCAGCAGACTAAACCTCTGGTCCCGGTGACTGACCCAGATTGGATCCTTCAACATTATCCTAGACATGTATATTTGCCTTCATTCACTCAGGTATTTGTCTAAATAATCTGTCCCTAAATTTGGGGCTTTCAGTGTGAATAGAATTCCTCGCAAATATCACTACAGGTTTTTTTTATTTTGTTTTGTAGAGAAGATATTTCTCAAAATCCTGTTGCATGTGAGAAAAGTATCCTAATCATCACTATGAATCTCAGCCATAAAACCCAAAAGCATGAAACAATTATCCTTGCAAAAATATTCCACATCGATATTCTAATATCATAGATAGCCACAACTAGCATTTTTGCCTTGAAAGTTCAGTAAGTTACCCACATTGAAGATTGTTAAGTTCAGTAGGCTTAAAAAATTTATAAAATTGCATTCTTTCTGGGAAAGCTGAGATAGCCATATAACCTTCTGAATCACTCACAACAATAAAATGGAAAGAAATCAAAAGCTTGAGTTGACTTGCTTACCAAACCAACAAAAAAAAAAGCAATATGCAGATTAGAATTGGAACACAGAAACATATTTTTTCAATTTTCCT